TCGAATGATCTGCTGCACACAGTGACAATGCAAAGTGCTTGTTAAGAATGTGAGCAGGTTTCCCACCCACGGGAACAATTTTTACCCAGCCAATAAGGACTGAGCTCTATAAACACTGCCCTTCAATCTACCCCTGACAGGCCCACAATTAAGCCCTGAAAGAATAGCTTTGTTCTTGTGCACAAGGGATGGCAGCTACTGTGAGCTCCACACACTACTGCTGCTTTAATCAGTTTAATGTGCACCAGAAACACTCCATCTGCAGGCTGCCAATGGAATCAAATGTTCTGAAAGTTTTGGGACTCATTGCTTGATTCATTTTAGAAAAGAAAAAAAAAAACACCTAGTACTGAGTCTGAGATGCAATTCATTTATCAATCTCACATACACACACACACAGCAAGAATATAAGGAAGCAGCCCAGGAAAACTTTGATATTATATGTTTTTTATTATATATTTGATATGGTGTTTTAATCTGCAAAACGCTGGAAATATCATTTATTCCTATCTGTACTTCTATCTCACACATATATAATTATGCTCACACCCTTTAATTACTGTGATTTATACAGTTGCTAACCTGCCAGGTAGGTTAATTACATCAGATGTTCAAGGTAATATGAAAATTGGAACACCCTCCATGCTTTTTTTAAACCACAAAATTACTTGGTGTCTGCTGACATTTATTGGTAAGTCCAGATTTCCCTACAGTTATTGAAAAGGACTGGAAATATCAAGAACTTTGATTGTATTTGTAATTGAAAAAAATTATTAAATAAATAATTAACAAAAACAATTAAATAATTAACTATAATTAATACATTAATTATTTATGGTCATATTTAAAATATTCCCGAACTAGAAATTACTTTGAGAGTAATCCATAAAATGATTTTTAAAATATTGACACTCCATGAACTGGAAAAGTTATTTAAAAAATGGAAATTCATTTGTCAAAAGGTGTGGGAGCGCTGTAAGTCATATTTGTGCTTGTCAATGACTGTACTATAAAAGAATGTGAACAAATGCAAACACAGTTGATGTACTGTTGCATATCCTATAACAAGAAAAACCTGGTGTGCAGCAACAACAGCATCTCATAAAAGAGCAACTGAATCTGGCCTTTGCCATCATCATTACAGGGGTGGAGGACAAGCCACTGCAAACAAATGGAAACGATTTTCAAATGCACAAGTTAATCACCTCTAACAGGCCTCTGTGGTCTGAGACATATGGCTCCTGATTGAGCCTGTGTCCATTGCCCTAAATAGTTCCAATTACATTCTTCTAAATCACCTATCTTTCCACACCTTTACAAGAGTCCCAATGAGGTTGTGGCTTCAACCACATTTTCAGTTACCAGACTCAACAGAACTCATGCTACATGATTTTCAGGTCAGTGCACACACAAAATGAGGAATCTGTATTTATTATCAACCCCATAATTGATAGCATCTCATTTTACGTATACTCCGACTTGTAGCCGATATACACTTTTTAAACCGATGCATCGCATCGATAACTTTTTATGCCGATGCATCGAGCGAATCGGGGATTCTTCCCATCCCTAATACTCACTAGTGTTGGCCAATCCGATTCTTACCGAATCGGTTCGTTCGGACAAGTGAACCATCACGTGATCTCACAATTTTTGCCGTTCACACTACAAGCGTCTTCACAGCACGGAGTCTAGCGACATACAGCGAAAAAGTCGCTGGCGGTGTGAACGGGGCTTTAAACAGACCAGTGTGATCGCCAAACGGTTGGCTGAAAGTATCAATTCAAAAGAACAATCCACAGAGCAATGCGAGAAACACGTGTTTGTAAATTTAAAAAAAACATATTCTAACCATTTAAATTTAAGAGTTCAGTCTTTGCAGGTTAATCAATAGGACGCATATTTACTTGCACTATTTAATGAAAACGTCTTTGCTCATTTTTGTGGATTTGACGACATGCAAGACAGCGATGATTGTAACGTTACCTGAGGTGACACGGTAAACAGAAGTCGACAAGTTGACAGATATCCAAAACAAGTGCAACTTCTGTAATCCCAACTAGCTACATTGCTAGTTAACGATTAAAACCATGTAGGTTGTGGTGAGTTTAAAATATTCTAGCTGAGCCCCCAGTGTGAGTTTTTTTTAGGCGACCGTTATTTTAAAATGTATCGCCTTATTGTTTCCATGGCGACGCGTCATGCTTGTCATGTGACACAACGCAGCCAAAATAGATCTGTATGACACATGGATCGCTTTTATTTCGTTTTTCCAGTTTTATTCAAAATATTCACAAACATGTTCACTATATTATGAAATATCTGATATTCCGATTCTTACATATGTGCAAGTAAATCTATTATAGACATCAGCGTGCATTTTACAAACTGTAAATGTATGGTTTTGCTAGTATAGTACTTATGTGTATTTAAATGTCTGAAAGCTAAAATAAGCATTGTATGGTTGAAAACACTGAATATTATATTTGTGATCATATGACAAGCGCTCAGTGCGTCCGAAAGCGCGAAAGCAGATTTAAATTCAGCAGTTGATGACGTGACGCACTGAAAGTTCTAATCACACCGGTGTGATCGTAGCTTCAGGGACCAGCCTAGAGTGATCACACCGGTGTGATCGTACGCTTCAGGGACCAGCCTAGAGTGATCACACCGGTGTGATCGTACGCGTCAAAGGGTTAATACGTTGCATATTTATCGTTTAACAGATGGTTCTGACTCTACATTCCGTTCTAAGCAGTTGTCGCAATATTAATGCGCCAACTTCCCAAGCGACCTATTACTTGGAGGAAGAATTTATATGCTGATTATTTTTAATAATAAATATTTTATTGGATTGTACGCTTGAAGTATTAGTGTCCTTTATCCTTTAGTGTCCTTTATACTTCTGATGCCGTTTTTATTTATTAAATATTGCCTCGCAATAAGCCTTGAGAGAATGATTAAGAACACCCCTGGCCTATGGTATGCCATTGCAACATCACAATTATATATTATATTATAACTATAAGCTAAAAGGAGAGTGAAAATTTAAATGCTGAAAATGAGTTTTTACCCCAAAATCTGTTCCGAGCCTGCTGATTTGAAATATGACACATTATTGTGCGTTATTGTAAGTTTGTTTTATTGTGTTATTGTAAGTTTGCCAAATTACTGCAAAAAAAAAAAAAAAAGTGTGAAAATATTTTTTAATTGTGTGTAGTATATATAAAATGCTAGCTATGAATTTATCCTTAAAAACAGGGAAACTGGATATTTAATTTTAAAAAAATTTTATGTCATCGATTTTCACTAGTGTCACTTCCATTAAAGAATGTTATCAAGCTGAATACATAATTTAATGTGTGATGGAAATGACATTTGTTGGTTCAGGAAAATGACAGTTAAGGAAAGAAACAGAAAAAAAAGACAGAATTCTCCTGTGGTGGTTGTACCCGTGTATCTACTGTTGGATGCCATCAGATTAATTACATTTGTAATTTAATTTCTAGAACTCAACAAAGCCTAAAGTGCCCATAGAAGCAGTTATTTATTAACATGACCAGAGAAATCTCAAGATTACTTCTGAGGGGCAACAACAGAAAACCTGATATTTAGTCAGGTGGGAAAATCACTTGGTGGAATCGGTTTAAAGTCTCCACATTCAAATCTAACTTTTGTTCTCTTGCCAGTGACTTCATCGCTGGCTGAGATCTGTTTCAGGGCTTGAGGAAGAGAAAATGGCACATTAGCACATAAATGCACTGTAGTCTTTTGAGGGCAGTCTAGGGAAGCCCTGTTTAAACCACAGGGACTCCTGGGTTGAAGGGGGAATTTAACTTCATTATTAACCAAAAGGTTCCCTTCACTGGGCCTCCTGAGGATCTACCTAAAACAGATGAAAAACCAGCTGAGAGCAGCTTAATATGACACAGACTGGAATAAATATGTTTTTGTCTAAATTAACATGAAATGACGGGACAAACACTGGCGTAATTCAAAAGCGCTGTCCTCTCTTATGTTAACTTTATTCCAGGAAGCTATTCAAAGTCAATATTTGGCATACAGATACCTAATATAGATGCCTACAAAAATAAACACATATGGGATAAAAGAGCTTAAAATTCCATTTGAATTAAATGGGTAGATTATTTCATTCCAATTCAATTTCAATGGGGTCAAATGACTGGGGCAATATTTCTGCTAACACGACAAGCTCAAGTAAGACAACATAGCACTGAACCACTCCATACTGTTTACAGGCACAATAGATCAACAAGGCCTCTTTCTCAACATCTACCACGTCCCTCTCAAGGCACAACAATCGTCAGTACATACATAGATTTACACAGCAATACAAAACAATGGGACAGCAGGTTCAGCAACACCATAGGTACAACTGGGCTAAAATGGCTTTCAATTTAAAGTGCAAAACCTAAATTCTATTCCATTGTATGGTACAATAAGAACCTTAAAGAATGAAGACATGTGGTATAGAGCAACAGACTTGGGAGTTAACACAAAATGTATGGTATGTCTTTGTCATTGTCAGACAAATTAACAGCAATTTTAGAAACAAAATTTACATCCATCTCAAGTCATTGTGCCTGCATACGGTTGATCAAGCTAAAACTCATTAAAATAAGTGCATTAGATTATATAGATGAGTCTGTGCATTCTCTGTAAATTATTTCTGCCGACATTTTGCATCACATCGGACCTACAGTATTATTAGGCACAAGATTTACACAGCGACAGTTTCCAAGCCCCTACTACTGATTAAGCACATACAATTCTGATGATCCATAATTCATTAATCATTATTATAAATATAGTATCATAGAAAATTAAGTAATGATGGGCAAAAATTGAATAATAAACATTAACATTATCCACTTTTGTTATTAAAACAGCTATGTATATCTTTGTACATTAAAATGCAGAGAAAGCAAAAGCATTAAAGGCATGAAGATGATACATAAATACAAAATAAATTAACACGCCTTGCTTTTTTGCAAAACTCAATAACAGAGAACAGGTAATGTGCTGCATAGAAGCTTATATATCCTGTACACAGCATAAATGCTCCTGATGACAACCATCATGGATTATTTGTCACCCAATGCTGTGGGTGTGGATCTGTTATGCATATTTTAGAGATAATGGCTGTGACTGAAGACATGTGGCCCTAACCTCATGTGCTTTCTGTGATGTGCTATAAGAAAATGTGTAACTTTGTCATCCCAGTCTGAAAAGGGAAGACCTCAGTACTACTCATTCTTGTTTAAAATGGACAGGCTGATTGAAGATTAACGCTGTGAAGTTAAGAGTAACCATGAAGTGATTTTCTTTTCTTTCATGTGAGTGAATGAGTGAGGGAGGACAGTTTGACAGACACACCCAGTAGGCCTTTGGAATGTGGTTTAGCCTTATATGTGTTCAGTAGTTGTACATTTTGACAATCACATATGCGGAGGTACATAATACAGGGCAGATCACTTCAAACTAACAAAAAAGGAAGTGTGAAAGGAACTGCCCTGTACACAAAGGAAATGGACCCTCGGCTAACTCTACCAACCATTTCTAAACCCACGTAACATATTAGAGTTAAAAAAGAAGAACAAATTAATAGTCTCTTAGAAAGAAATGTACTGACTTAAAAAAAACAAAGTCTGGCCTGAGGAGGTAAATGTCTGCAGTAAGATGATCAAGGGTCTTAAAAAGATAAACAGGAAAGAGAGAGATTTTACAGTTGGGTGGGCCTCCTGCTTTGTGGATCCCCACCAGAAGGTGGCACTGTCACCAGACTTCTAAGATAAACACAAGGATTCCTTCTCTTTCTGGCGGATTGCGTGGCAGGTGGTGGAGGAGGTGGTGGCGGCGGCCTGAAAGAAGACATTAGGGGCTGCATTTCCTGCTGCTGCTGAGAGAGGGTGCCTTCCTCCTCTTCCTCCTTCCCTGTAGGGAACCTGAACTGCCCTGAACCTGTATCACTTCCTGATCCTGCACAAACACCACCACCACTTTTTCCCTTCGTAGGGGTCCGCACGGGTCCTCCCAGCCTCGAGAGGGTGCTAACACGTGTGTGCTGAGGCTCCGGAGGTGCTGGAGGAGAAGCCAGGCTCTCAAGAGAGGAGATGCTCTGGTTCCAAGCTTGCAGCAGGTCTATAGGGATAATTTTAGTTGCCTCCACAGACACACAGGGAGGGAGGGAACCCATGCCACTTTTCCACGGCAGGTTTTTCTCTCCACATGTTGGCGATGGAGGGGCTGCGACCGGGCTCTGACAAACATCCAGTGCAGCTGGTACAGAAAGAACAGAAAGAAACACAAGAAGATACAGAGTTGCTGGGGATAAGAAACAATCAGTTCTCATATTTTCTTACCAAAATTGTGTTCATATCTCACCTGATTTTGGTCTCTCCTTTGGTGTTTCTGGGGCTTTGCGAGCCACAAAAGTGATGCCTACATCATCATCTTTATCTGGTTCAGAAGGATCATGTTTATCCTCCTCAGGCGCCATTGGAACCACAACTGTGTCTGAAGACACATGCAAAAACATGTTACCCACAATGCACTGGGAATTTTAAGTAGCAGAACATAGCTCAACAGTTTATTGGCAACCAACCTTTGTCCTGCCAGCTGACATTTCGGCGTGGTTTGTCACTGGTGTCTTGCTCTTTAGCATCTGACCCTTTCCGCTGAAAAACAATATTATCAATATTTTAAAAAAGAGGGTGGGAGAACAAATAAAGTAAACTTATCAGAGGAATAAGCTGTATGCATACATATGGAAGATTTTTAAAAATGTTTTTGAAAGAAATCTATTTTGCTCACCAAGGCTGCATTTATTTTATTAAAATATATTACAATTTTATTTTTATTTTATTTTTTTAATGTAATTTATACTTGCAATGGCAAAACTAAATTATCAGTAGCCATTACTACAGTCTTTAGTGTGACATGATCCTTCAGAAATAATTCTAATTTGTTGAGGTGGTGATTAAGAAACATTATTATTAATGTTCTAAACAGTTGTGCTGCTTAATATTTTTATGGAAAACATGAAACATTTTTAAGGATTCTTTGATGAATAGAAAGTTCAAAAGAACAGCATTTATTTGGAATAGAAATCTTTTGATGAAACATTATATCTTTATATCTGTTACTTTTGATTAATTTAATACATCCTTGATGAATAAACGCATTAATGGTGAAGAACTGTTGTAACATTTCCTCTCACTTTCTCTTTTAATATTATGCACTTGCGCATGTGCATGCACATTCACAGACACACACACACACACACACACACACATACATGTCTGTCTTAGCCTACCTTGGCCTCCCTCAGGTCCACCTAACTCAACATAAGTGTGTTCTGCTGCAGTTTTGAGCTCTTGCCTTTTTCTGACTGCGGTCCTTCTTGTGGCGCTTGTAGCGAGTGGATTTAAAGGACTCCAGACGGTTGCGCATATTCCTCTGGAACACCTCCCTGTCCTGTCTCTCTTTTTCACCCACTGTCATGAAGTGCCGACTGTAGTGGGACTGGTACTGCAGGAATAGAGAAGGTCAACAGAAGCAAACACATCATACAACGTGTCACCCACTTCACTGATGCAATATAATGCTTGAGAGTTCTTCACAGTGAGAGGGTGAGCGTGTGGCAGGATCTGTACCCGTCTCCTGGGTTTGTAGAGGTTTCCAGCAAGTACATGATGTGTCTCTAGCTCTTCCTCTATTTTGGCTCCTGGCACTGTGTCAATCACCTGGAGGTCTAGACACACCCCACTGCCATTTTCTCTCCTGAGGGATCACACACAGAGACACAGATAGACACAGACAGGAACCAACATGCATGTAAACACATGTATACTTACACCACAGATATGCACAAAATGTCTTCATCTGCCCCTGCACACACTGTCTACACACACTAACACACATTCAAAAAGATCTGATAATAAAACAATGCAAAATATATTTTTAAATCAGTATTTTTAGTCTTGTGTTGTCTGAACATTTTTGAAACAAAATACATTTCCTTGATGTATTCAGTATTAAAGTTTGTAACGTAAGTGAATATAATATTCAAATTGTTTTATATTGTTTTAAGCACAACTCTCTAATTTGTTTGTTACACTTAAGACAAGATAAAAATAGTATTTGCCAAAGGGGTAAGAAAAATCAACCTCTTGATGCACTACCATTCAACAGGTTGGGGTCAGTAGTTTTTTTAAAGACATTAATAATCTTCATCAAGGATGCATTAAATTGGTCAAAAGTGACAGTAAATACATTCATAACGTTATAAAAGATTTCTGTGTACAAATAAGTATATTTATTTCTATCTATAAATAAATGCGTTTTTTTTTTTTTACTTTCTATTCATTAAGAAATCCTGAAAAAACTATTGATAATAAAATACATTTTTCTCGAGCATCAAATCAGCATTAGAATGATTTTTGAAGGATAATGGGACACTATTCAGTGGTGTACATTTATCTTATTTTAAGGAGATTAAAATGTTTTTACAGACAACAAGATAAAAATACTGATTAAGAATTTTTTTTTTTTTGCAATGTCCTCAAACATAAACATACTCACAGGTAGTTGGTAACATTTGTGACCTCTGGAAAAGAGGTTCTGCTGGCCATGGAAGGCAGAGAGAGTCTTGCAGAGGTCAACACATTCCCACCCTGAGAGAAAGACAGAGAAATTCCCTAGATTCAAATACTAAACTCTATGCTTGATTCTGATTGGCCGACACATACAGTATTAAACTATTGATTAATGTTCCATAGTTGCTATCAAGTAGTTCTATCAAGTAGTTCCAGTTCAGTATCTTGCATCATTGGAAATAATGCACACCTGAGGTGATAATACAGCCACACTGCAAAGTGCACTTACACCTTCGGTGTGCATTCATTTTCAATAATTCAGTCAATTTTGCTCTCAAAGTAGATGTAAACCAGCTCTCCGTTCTTCATTCTTCATATAGATGGTTACCACAAATTACTCTGGCATATGGGTGACTGTTTAAAAACACAGTCTGTTCTGCACTCTTACATACAGTATGACCTCATAGTTCTCTGAAAATATATACACAGTAAGCAAGTACAAAACCTGTGGCAAAGACATGCAGAAATGTGACTTATGTACAGAAAAACAGTAAAAGAAAAACTCTTTTTAAAAATGTTTACATTCAAGTTAGAATCATTTTAGTTGATACATTTAGTTTTTACCCTGCCCAAATTAAAAGAGCGATTCTGTGCCTCTTTCACTGGGTGGTCCGAAAGAGAAAAGAGGTTTCTCTATCTATCAGTCTTGTGCTAATATTAGTTTGATAACTCCTCTCAGGAAGCCAAGCTCTATGAAACTCAAGGGTACAGGAAATGATCTCGCTGGAGGACAAAAGTCCTGCATGACTAACGTTCCAGGTGTTCTACAACTTTTCTGGTCTAGTACATTGTTTATTTTTGTTCAATGGAGGAGTGAAGAGGAGAGAAATTACTTAAATTACTTAAGACAAACTGCAACCAACTTAAAAGAATCGATTGGGAAATGTGTAACAATTATGACGTGCATTTCTATACATTCATATTAAAATATATTACATCACTCTACTGGAGGCCCTTCGTTTTCTTTCCTCTTTCACTCTCTCTGAGTATTTTTGTAGATAGGTTTGATGTTGCAGCTGACAGGTATCAGATGCCTACAAAGGACCAGTATTGGCAGAGACACAGTGGCGTCAGGGTAACTAACAAAGAGAGGAATTATCCTCAGCTCTTCTCAAACGACTCTCTTGAGCCTAAGAAAAGTTCTCAGTGCTTCCTCTGCTCAATGCCATAATCCAGGGGCTTTCAGTCTTTAAAGGCCCAAGGACCCCCAACCAGACTCTCGTCCAACCCAGAGACCCCCCAGCATAAAAAAACTCTAGTATAACTTTTATTAAGAACATTAACTAACATTACTAATAGTTAATGTTCATTCAAAAAAAGTAAGAAATTAAAATGTATTGAAAATCTTGGCTATAATCCACAACTGTTAGTGAGTCTGAATGAAGAAACACTTTTACAGAGTGGACACAGATGAAAATAGAAGTGTTTTTTTTAGCGGTTTTATTGTATTGCACAGCAGTGAGGTTTTTACCTAGTACTGATTTTTGAGTGTGGGCACCATCTAGTGGTCAACAATTTCAGTACAATAATAATACAGCATAGAACCCTTACAAAAAAGTGTCATGGTGAATTACTTTATGTCCAAATGTAAAACCGCAGCGTCATACATGACAGCCTTTCAGGACAGCAGTGTCTCAACACTACCGTGTCCAAAAAATGTGATGGTATCATTCAACTTTAACAAGACGAGCAATACCTGAACTGACGAACCGCCTACATGATAAATGGCTACATAAAGACTTTTACCTGATCAATGACACTGATGGCATCTCTGATGTTGATTTTCTGATAGGCCTCCCACAGTTCACTCTTATGGTACACAGACTTTCTCAACAGCAACTTGCTCAAATAGTTCTTGTCAAATTGCTCCCACCTAAAGGATAAAAAACAATGATTCTTAATTCTTTTCAGCTCTTGTATTTTGACCGAGCACATTTCTCATCATGAGAATAGATGCAGTATAAGTGCCACTCACTTGTCCCTCCAATGATGGTATCCATTCAAACCGGCAATGTCCTCCACAGCTGTCAGAATGTGGTCAAAGGCCTGAAGACAGACAAGTTCAGTGCTTCTGTAAGTTATTAATGGCTATTTTACTTGAATTATCTTCATCTCTGCATTTATATTTATTTATTAGTTTATTTCATGTCAGCATCCAAGGCTATTTTGACAGCAAAAATAGGGAACATAAATACCATCTAAACTTTTCTAAAGACAGCAAGTTCCCCTCAGACATGCATTCATATAAACTCCTACACCTAAATGAATCGCGATTTGTTTAGCATCTCAACCGATTTGAATCGTCACATATTTGAATCGATTTTCAACCGGCTCGCGGTTAATCATTACATCACTATAAACATATTTAAAAGGAGACTAGGGATAGACAAACAGGATAAAAAGTCACATACAGATAAAATAAAACGTATAAAGGATTTTTAGGTGCTAGTGCTATTTTGACAGCAAAAATAGGGAACATAAAAACATAAATTAATAAACATATTTAAAAGGAGACTAGGGATAGACAAACAGGATAAAAAGTCACATACAGATAAAATAAAACTTATAAAGGATTTTTAGGTGCTAGTAAATGAACGAGACATTGCCAACTGGGGAGCAGTTCAGTGTTGAAAGTTCATTGAATCTGGTTGGTCTATTCACCTTATTTAGCCCCGTCCCCTTTCAGCACTGCGCTTTTTCATGTTTTGTGTTCTGTCTTCCAGTGTCATAAGCTGGTGTTTCTACTGACATGAAATATGCATATGCATATGAATTTGTTTTCATTTTTAGGTTATTATTAGCTTGCTGACAGCTTGTTAAGAAACTGTGTTAAAATGAAATGAAATGAAATTTCAAGCTGTGATAGCTCATACTAGTCTAAATGCAATTTCATGTCAAATTAGTCTTGCATTTCTAAAATTAATTTGTCACCCCAATTTTTTTAAATGCTTAATGCAAGTAAAATAGTTTGTCATGGATTTAAAAAAATGAACTAGTCGTTTCAATTAAAGTGTTTATGTATTAAATGCTGTAAAGCGGTGGTTCCCATCCCTTTTCTCAGTTTGAGATGAGAAAATCTGCTGACTATAACTGTAACACAATGTGTGAATGACATGAGACGATGACTATAGGGTTAATATCAATATTTTAATTACTTCTTGTTGTCTGTTGGAGTTTCTTGAGCACAAATTCATATCAGTATGTCCACCGCATGAAGATAAGAGCTAATGGATTTATGAATGAACCACTCCTTTTAAAATCCATGTGTTATGGCATCCGCTTCACACATTATAATACTCATGATAACTTTTGTTAACTCTACAATAAGTAATAAGTCCCCTTGTCCAGCTTACTCTTTGACAGTGATGCCATAAAATTTACAGCACTACCGTGAAAAAAATAAATAATAATAATATAATAACAATAAAAAAGGAAGTTCAAACTAAATTCTAAAGATGGCTGTGTGCTTGTTTCTCTGGCACATAAGGTGAATACAACTCTAAATCTTCAGAGTTTGGGAAACTGCTGGATTCTAAGGAAAATCTCTTCTATTCGCCTTTATTTTCTCAGAATCTCTCCTGTATTATTTCGTATCTCTTCTGTCAGCTCAGCTACACTACAGTCTATCTTTAGCGCAGGTTTTAGAGTGCTCAGCAGGTAGCCTTGAGTCCCAGAGAGTGCATGCACCAGCAGGGTGTGTAAGGCCTTCAGAAAGAGGATGAGGTAAATGGCAAGGGGCCGTGTGACCTCTGCCTATGTGTGCACATTTATTTGTGGAAAGGCAAAAAAGAGCTCTGATGGTTAATTAATTGGAGGGAAGAGTCTAACGTCAGTCTGTCAGTCGCAATGCTGCTGTTTCAGTCATCAGATCACAAGCACTGCACAGATAGCAAGGTCAACATCATCACTCACAGGCAGTCAGGCAGGGACAGAGGGAGACAGGTGAGGAGAAACGGAGACAGAATAGAGGCAGGATTTACAGCGAGAGTATTGGAAGTGATATTGACTCACACGCTCGTGGATCTCTTCGTTAATGGTGGGTTTTCTGTTTGTGCTGCGAGGCACTTTCAACCATTTCACTAAAGGCTTGATGGTTAAACCCTGGGAGGAAAGATTAGGAAAATGTCAACAAATCCGACAGAAGGAAGCCACCAAAGCTTTCAACTTAATATCACAGCCTGAGGGTGCAAAAAAATCTAAATATTGAGAAAATCGCCTTTAAAATTGTCCAAATGGTGTTCTTAGCAATGCATATTACTAATCAAAAATTAAGTTTTAATATATTTACAGTAGGAAATTTACTAAATATCTTCATGGATCACAACATGATCTTTACTTAATATCCTAATGATGTTTGGCATAAAAGAAAAATCTATAATTTTGACCCATACAATGTATTTTTGGCTATTACTAAAAATATACCCCAGCGACTTAAGACTGGTTTTGTAGTCCTGGGTCACATATTTCTAGAAGCAGCTCCAAGTCAGTATTTTTGGTCTTTTAAATAAACGTTTTACCTAATCAAGCAGTATCACACTAGCATGCTGTTTTTTGAAATACTGATTTACTTATATTTTATATTGCCAGATATTTTGTGTATTTTTGCTCTGCCAATGAAAGAGGTTTTAAACGAAGCACAAGCATAATCAACGTTACGCTTGTCTGAGGAACACTGAATATATCACTGTTTTTGAACGAATTGTTTTAGTGAAATTAGGGGTGGGCAATATGACCAAAATCTTATATCACGATATGAGTAATTTTATTTCACGGTAACAATATATATCACAATATAGTTATTTTTGCTTTAAATAAGATCTTTATGATATCCACATTTTTTTGATACCATAGAAATTTCATAATTCTTGTCACCAGTGTCAATTTCACAAAAAAATAATACTTGCCTAAATTAAAAAACAAAAATCAAACTGAAGATCACTGAAGACAAGTAAACAGTCAGCGATTAAATAAGAATAAGAAACTAATTACAAGCAATAGGACAAAAAAATACAGTTGAACAAATAAAAAAAGAATTGCTTCACACATTGTATAAAGTAAAAACACTGCATATTCTTCACTGTGTAAATTAAATATTTCTTCTTATTAAAGTTACAAAAGTGATTTAGTCAAGAGCAGTGAGAGATTTTCTCTCTTTTGTTGTTTAATTAACATGAATAACAGACAGTAGGATTATTAGACTGCTGTCACTTTAAGAGATGCCCGGATCCAATATACTTGTACACGTGTTTTCTTTCTCAACTGTTTGCTTTCACTTAAGACCTAAATTACTGCGTTTAACAGGATACTTGTAAAGACGGGCATTTTGACAAGTGTGTGTATTTAACCGTTCAAGGCCTATAAAGTGGCAAAAATAACTCCGTTCAATACTCCCGTGCTCTATGAGCACCGTCTTCATGTGCGCACGCCTCTCTGACAGCGTTTTCTTTCGCTGCTGATTGTGTTTCAATGGCTTAAAATCACTTGTTTTTAAATCGCAATGCTTAAAAACACGTGCAAACGAAGAACACGAAGTTTCCGTGACGATAGAGACGATAGTCCAAAATCTCTACCGGTTGACAAATTTCTAAAAGTTCATCGTATCTACTGCCCACCCCTAAGTGAAATATTCAATGACTCACTCATTCGATTTTAGTTCCTGAATGACAGGGGTGTTAAACATACTGAAAAACTGTACTTAAAGTATAGAACTACAGATACTATGTCAAAATAAATAAATAAAGTCATAAGTACCTAGCCAATAAAAATGCTTGAGTAAAAAAGCATTTAATTGTACTGGTACTCTTACTATTTTTACCACATTTGAATAAGGAAAAAAGAAATAGTAGTATGCTAGTATGAGGTTGTGAATTCAGCAACTGTTTTCAAATGAATTGGTTGAATGAATGATTCAAATGACTCACTCATAAAGAAAGCGTCTGAATTCATCATACTACTATATAAATACTACTATTACTATTTCTGCCATATCTAAATATGGTAGAGATAATATGAGTAGTATGTGATGTCAAATTCAGCCAGCCGCTTGCTTCGGTCCTGAATGAATCATTGTTTTTGAACGAATAGTCTAAATGAATGAGTCAGTGACTCATTCATAGAGACACTTATTGGCACCTACAATACTAGCATATCAATGCATCCTGCAGAAAGATTTGCTGAAAAACCCTCAACACTAATACCCATACTGACGGTGTCAAAATGTATATTATTTATATATGTTTTAATAAAAAAAACAACATAAAACAAAAAAATAAACAATGCAGTTTTTCCACAACCTGTTACAGAAAAAGAAAAAGCATACTTGTCTAACCAGCATTCATATTTGTGGAATCTGTTGACAGATGAGTTCCTAACCAACATTTGACAGTATATCCTGATGATTTCAGCAGTCAAATATACTGTGGCATGTTGGATACACCAATATGACAACACACACATAGACACTCTAGAGCAGGGTTCCTCAAATCTTGCCCTGGAGGGCCAATGCGCTGCAGAGTTTAGCTCCAACCCTGATCAAAGTCACCTACCTGTGATTTTCTAATGATCCCGAAGACATTGATTAGCATGCTCAGGTGTGTTTGATTAGGGTTAGAGCTAAACTCAGCAGGAAAGTGGATCTCGTGGGCCAGATTTGAGGATCCCTGCTCTAGAGATTCTGCAGCCTTAAATAATGGATGAGATTGGAATAAGGTAAAAAGCCTAGCCAGATGGGCACATCACACAAACACATTTATACATAGGCAGCACCATCAAAATCACTCCATTCATCGTAATGAGCATCTCTATGTCAGAGCAGCTTTCGAAATAACAGCAATTTGACACAGCAGTGGGGAAATGTCATCCCTGCAAGGCAATAATCAGTAAGTAATAATAATCAGAGCCTGAGGAAAGATGAAACAGAAAACAAACAAACACTTTTATCAACACATAATGATTCTGTAAAGGTGAGAGGAGAGGGAAAACAAGAATAGGCAAGAATACAGAAAAAATAAATATCTAAAAGAGTTACCTGAAACATGACTGTGAAGAAAACCACAACTATGGTTGTTGCCACAAAGTAGTCTTTAGCCTTCACCTGTTCTTTATCTAAAAGTACCACCAGAGCAAAAGCCACAGCACCTCGGAGACCGCCGTATGACATCATCACTTGATCAATCTTTTCCAGGGGAACCAGCCTGAACCAGTTCAGGAACCAAGTCTGTCCTGCAACACCTGCAAATGACATGTTTGAGCAAATAAATATGCTAACTGTTAGAGCTGAGGCCTTTGTAAATGTCTAGTGCAAGATTAATTTAGCATCTCAACCCATTATAAATCACAAAAGAAGTTAAATGAAAACTAGATGAATGTACATGGTACGTTTTCAGCTTTCATGGTTTAGGAAAATCCAAAGTGAAAGTTAACTGTGAAGCAGAATATGCTATGAGTGAGGGGTTTCAATTAACCGTTCTCTTTTTGTTTTTGACTTCAGTAACCAAAAAGTACCAACAATACAATGTGACTATCATGTTTTTTGAAAATCACGGTATAGAATAGAATAGAATAGAACTCTCACCCACAGCCCTGAAGACTAAGATAAATATGAGTGTGCTGACAACAAGGCCAGTGTCCCAGGCCCATTTGGACTTGTCCACAGCGGAGATACCCAAAAAGATGAAGATGATCGTCTCTGCAATGCTGGCCAGGGTTTTCATGGTGTACTTCACGGTGGTCCGGGACTTCTGGGATATATTGGCCTCCACATACTTGTTGCAGCCAATGCCGCAGAAAGTCATCCTGTTATGAATCAACAATGCCATCAAGAGGCACAGATATTATATAATGACAATAGAATACAACATTTGTATTTTTATCCAAAGAAAATATATAAATACATAAATATAATTGAGTTTACAGTTTAACAGAGTGGTTGTTAATCTTTGCTATAAATTGTGTGGACCTTTGTACCTTTGGATTGACGTCTATATTTAGACAAAGATATGAGATATCCCCATATTTACACTCCATATACATAAATTAGGGCTTCAGACAGGAATTACCCTTTGCTCAGAGTGCTGTGTTTTATTTGAGTCACTCTGCATTACTCACAGAACAGACCAGAAACAATGAAAAGTGCAGAATTATAATGATGAGATCATATTTATATCATCCAGTCACACATGACCTTTTCCATTTTCTTTCAATCCTATTATGTTTTATTTCAATTCAATCTAAATACCCCCTTGTGCAGTAAGTGTGATGAAAAGCCATCAGGGGGCGCTCCAAGCACTGCATTACTTTATACTTACAAAATCAGACAGACAGGCATTTACTTTAAAGGTGACATATCATGAAAATCTGACTTTTCCATGTTTTAAGTGCTATAATCAGGTCCCCGGTGCATCTACCAACCAAGGAAAGTGAAAAAGATAAGCCCCGGTAAGCCCTTTTCTGCAAGCCTCTGAAAAAACCAGCGCGTCAGATTTCGCTCCCTTGGTGACGTGGCAAAGGGATCTCATTATAATATTACCGCCCCTTAATCTGTAAACTTCCACTCAAGGTGCCATCATTTTGATTTTGCAAGCGACAACGGTGTACCAGTTCTAATGTCATGGCGAATGTTTGAGCAAAACATGCTAACTGTTCTGTCATTGGCTGCACAGAACACTATTTAGAGTCCCAGCCTCAGAGGAGACAACACAGCAGTGCATTTATTGATTTATTTAGGCTACTGTATATTGCTGCTGCCACACAGATCTAAAATAAACAAGCGATTTATTTCCCAGCTGTTTACCTTCACAGACATAACTGACTGGTTTTTGTAACTCATGTGTGTTTTTAACGTAAACTTGTGTGTGAATGAGAACTTAGTTTAGTACTCGCATGCTGTTGACAGCAGCTTTCTGTCCGTATGCTTCAGATGTGTGCGCTCAGAAAACCGTATATCAGAAGTGTAAACTAATATGGTTTAAAATGCATGATTTCAGCGCGATAAACATGACAATTAGAACCAAAACAGATGTTTTTAGCAGGTACAAGCTGTAATGACATAGACCTATTCTAGAAAAGGGGGCGGGGAGCAGCAGCTCATTTGCATTTAAAGAGACAGGCCCGAAAAAACAGCGTGTTTCTGCTTCCACTCAAAATAGGCATTTTCAAAATGATATAATAAATGATCTGTGGAGTATTTTGACCTGAAACTTCACAGACACATTCTGTGGACACCAGAGACTTATATTACATATTATAAAAAGGGGCATAATATGTCTCCTTTAAAGAAAACAGCTTGCATCCACATTGCAAACTAGGGTGGACAGTGCAATGAAGTCTTTTATTTAAAAAAAAAAAAATCAATTCATTTTCTTCTGTTCGATTTTTATCATGCAACGTTTCTGCACTGCATGTCTTAACATCCTCTTTACATGAAGACCTTTATCTAACAGCCAAGTAGCATGTTGGTGAAAAGCAGTTAGTCACATCAAAAAGACAATTCTACTGACTAATTTTACAATTCTTCTGCTTTACAGGCAGTAAAACCTTTAATAGCCATAATTAACCATTAACCTTCATTGAATAAGACACTAATTGAGCCCATTCAGAAAGGCATTTAAAGGGTTAAAGCCAGTAAATGCACTCATCATTTGGTGAGCTCGCTCCTTATTCACTGAGATTCTCTTAAAAGCT